GTAAAAAAAGTATTTTGTGTTCATTCAACAAACATATCCTTAGGACCATAGAGTCCTTTTTTTTTTTTTAAAGGTTTTATTTATTTGAGAGAGAATGAGATAGAGAGAGCATGAGAGGGGGGAGGGTCAGAGGGAGAAGCAGACTCCCTGCCGAGCAGGGAGCCCGATGTGGGACTCGATCCTGGGACTGATCATGACCTGAGCCGAAGGCAGTCGCTTAACCAACTGAGCCACCCAGGCGCCCAGAAGGACAGTATTATTAAAGGCAGCTTCGTTTCTCTCAGCTTGGGGCTTGACTCCGTAAGCCTAGTAAGAATCCACTGTCCATATGATGAAGGTGCTTAGCCTGTCAGATCTCATGAACCATGGGGTATATTCATGCACGACCCAGAACATTTGTCAGCTCAACAGATGATGCTCTGGCACATGCTGCGTGGCAGACTCAGCGTGAATGCAGAGCAGTCCTGCCCGTGACGCGCTGCGGCTCTTACCTAAGGCTGCGTGTGGGGTTGTCCTCAGCATCCTGCTTCAGGAGTTCTAGGGGAGACTTGGCACCCCGTCAGAATCCCACCAGCAGCCCAGGAGAACCCCTGATCTCAGGAAACAGTGAGCCAGAGATGGACAACCTGGTGCTCTGCACGTCGGCATAGAGAGCAGCACAAGGTCCTGGGAGGACCAGGGCAAGCTGGAGCACGATTGCTCCCGGGTGTTCACCAGCGTGTGCTGGCCACATAGTGCAGGGTGGGCAGGAGGGCTGGGACCTGGAGCGGGAGACAGGTTCAAGACCACGGTCCTGGCCAGCATGGAGAAGAGTGCCGGTTTCGATAGGTTGGAAGGTGATAAAATCTGCAGGCCCTCAGTACTGCCTGGGCGTCTGGGGGGCTCTGCGTTTGTGGCTTGAGCGACTGGTTGCAGGCGTTTGCCTTCTGCCGTGGCGGGGGTGGGAAGATCGGGAGCAGGGGTGGCGGTTTGCGATGTGTTTCGATAGAACAGCCCTCTGAGCCCTGGTGTTTGTTTTTAGACCCGGCATATATCACCGCAGCCTGTGGGATGGTGGCAGAAATGGTGGAGTCTTTGCCGTCAGTGTTGGCCTTGGGGCATAAAAGGAATAGCAACACCCCAGCGTTTCTCACGTCGGTGCTCAGGAACATCATCGTCAGCCTGGCTCGCTTACCCCTCGTCAACAGCTACACGCGCGTCCCCCCACTGGTGAGTCTGGTCATTCCTTGGCAGAAAACCCGAAATGAATGAGATGTGCAGGCCAGCCCCTAGCTGGGGGCTCCCGAGGGTGAGAGCGGGAGCTGGCTGCTCAGGTGCCTCCCCTTGGCGGCCAGAGCCTCGCGTGCTGTGTGGTCCTGGCACCTGTCTGGTCTCCTCGGGCGTGACAGCGGTCATGGTAGAAGTGCTGGCTTTTCCCACACGGGGTGAGGCACTATGTCTAGAAGTAAGATTTCGTCTCCCACTGGTCGGTGCTCGACGTTGGATGTGATCAGAGAGTAAGTCAGCTCCCTTTCAGCGGTAGACTGGAAGTGGTGCCCCTGGGGTACGTAAAAGCAGGCACCGTCTGATACTGCTCAGCTGTCTGGGCGTGACCACTTTTGAAACTCCGGATTCCAGACTGTCCTCAGAATCAATTTCAAGCCAGCATTCATCAGGATTCTTGTCTCAGGTAACAGGAAGGGCTTAGTGTGAGCGGGTTGAGGGTCGAAGGTGGCCGGACGGCCCCTCCCTGGGGAAGCTGCTGAGACAAGAAGTAGGGGCTCGGGGTGAACACAGCACAGCCAGAGGTCAAGGTGAGCCGGGACCTTGCTTCTGCCTGGAAAGGACCTGTGCCTGCCAGTGGGCACAGCTTCAGTGCCTGTGTGTGAGAGGGAGACGCTGGGCAGGCTGCCCCCTGGGGGCAGCGGGGGCCCACCCGGAGGGCTCACGCCGAGCAGCGGCTGCAGCCTGGTGTGCCAGGGAGGCGCGTCTGCGGCCCCGTGCCCGCTGGGAAGAGAGCAGGAAGAGCCCGCTGGAGAAGCACGGTGGGCACCGTGCGGGGTGCGGCCGGGCACAGGGAGTCAGTGTAGGTCTGGAGACAGCTGCTCCTCTGGAGGGGAGCGGGGAGCCGTGGTGGGGGGGCCCGTCCTGGAGGTTGCGGTGTCTGGAGCAGATGCGCCGGCATGGGGCACGTGCTGTAGGGGGCGCTCCTCGAGCCAGGGTCGTCACCTGCGTGGAGCTGCATGCGCCAGGGCCCCGCGAGGAGGGCGCCCCGCCAGGGTGTGCTGAGCAGCTCGGCGACGCTAGCGAGAGATGCAGCATCTTCCTGAGCGGACTGAGAGGCGCCGGCGCCGTGGAGGTGGGCTGGCCGTGTCTCCGAGGCCCCCACGGTGGGCTTGGGGAATCGGGAGCTGAAGGGTCCACTCAGCTGGCTGGAAGGGTGGTTGCTCCTGCTGCCAGGACAGCATCGGGTCCGCCTCAGGTCACTCTCTGCTGGCGGGGTTTACAAGCGTGGACAGCACGGCTTTTTGTGGCTGCTCACCAGTGACTCTGTGTGTGTGTGCGGCTGAATTTCATCTGATGCCTGCCTTCGTCTGACAAACCAGCTGCTGTTTGTGGGCGAGGGTGTTCCTGCCTGCCCTCGACGGCTGGGGACTGCCAACACGAACCTTCAAGAACCCTACTTGAGAACAGCCAGCTGGGGGGGTGCAGAGGGGTGGTGGCAGGGAAAGGGGCCGGGCCAGGTTGGGAGCAGGCGAGTCAGGGAAGTGGGAGGTCAGAGCAGACCCAGGAGGCTCATGATGGGGCAGGCGATCCTTGGGCGAGGGCGATGCATGGGAGATGTTTTCCCGGAAAGATGGTGCACTCGCTTTTGGGAATGTCTGCGTGAGCCGTCGGTAGGCATGTGGCCTCTGGAGGAAGACCATTTTAGAGAAAGGATGCTTCATGGTTTCCTTGAAGTGCGGCTGTCCTGACTTGACCGGGGTCACTCTGTTTCTTTTTCATCTTCTCAGGTTTGGAAGCTCGGATGGTCGCCCAAGCCGGGAGGTGACTTTGGCACATGCTTCCCTGAGATCCCGGTGGAGTTCCTCCAGGAGAAGGAAGTCTTTAAAGAGTTCATCTACCGCATCAATGCACTAGGTAGCCCGGGTTTCTCTTCCAAAATTGTTAGTCCTCAAAGCGCCTAGTTCTTCTTGTTTATTCCACAAGGGATGTAGGGTGTGATATGATCATGTGTGCGTACATTCTGCAGTGAATGCGAACTGGCACCGTGAAAAATTCTCTCCGGGTTGGTGTGGTGTTTGGGGGTGTGTGAGAGAGATGGGGGGGCTTAACCCCAAGTCTTCACACACCAGTCTTGTTGGAAGTCAGGACAGGCTCCTGGTGATGGATCATGTGCAGCCCAGCTCAGCGTGCTCTTGTTTCCTCGGGTGCAGAGCGAGCAAATGGAGCGAGCAGGGGAAGGAGGCTTCATCCTGTGAGACAGCACTGGCCTCTGGGCGGTGGGGCAGGCGTCTTAGCCTCTAGGACCCCCAGTGTCGTGGATTCGTAGCGCTGTTACGCTATGCGTAACGAGACTCGACTGGTGCAGTCATCAGTAAAGGGCAGCTTTAGTGGTTTTCCATCAGGCTGCTTCTCCACTTCCTGCGGCACGGTGTGGCTTGCCTTTTTGTCCCTATTTCATGGCTGGAGGTCCGGTCCGGTGGGAGAGTTGTAGTTGGCTGTGTCCAGCTATGGTGTTTCCCAGAACATCGGTCTCCTGAGTCTGGTGTGGGCACCTGCCTGCCCGTGCGGCCCGCCCTTCATCCCCGTGACCCCTGCCGTCTCAGCTTCTGCAGAGTTTGTGCTCATCTTGATCCCGGAAGTTTCAGGCAGCTGATACCATCTTGCCTCTCCTTTTGCCTTGAGTGAAGTAGGCAATTGGTTACCCTGTCCAAAGTGCCGTCTCAGCAGCGACCTAAGACCGGCTGCCTCGGGAAGCTTTGTTTCTTTCCTGTCCTTGAAGGTGGTTCCTGGGCAGTCTCCTGGCCGCCCGCTGCATGCTGTCACTTCCTCTCTTGCTCAGGCATCTTCGTGCTCGAATCCTCACTCAGACCTGCGGGAGGGACCCCGACAGCTCCACAGTCTCTTCCTGATGTTGCCTTCACTCTTGCCTTGTCTTTGTTCGTTCTTTTCTTTTCCCTTAAATTGTGTAAACATCGTCTGTAGTCTGCCCGCCTCACTAGGTCTGTCTGTCTGCATCTAATCCCTCTGCATCCAGTTTACCAAGGAGACCCTCAAGTTAGATGCTCTGTTTCCTGCCCTCAGCACCCCCTTCCTGTCCCTTGTAGCCCTGATGCAAGTGGCATGGCCATGTCCACCTCCCAGGTCACGCGTGGGAGCAGGAAGTGTGGCACTCACCCCTCACCTCGGGCTCTGCCGCCGATGACGGTGCTCGAGGGTGACCCGCTAGACACGCCTTTGCCAGATGCGAGTGCCCCAGCTGGGTCACGTCCTTTTTTGATCTGCTGTTTTTCTAGACAGGGTCAGAGGAACCATTGCTTTAACTTATGTTGAACAGCTTTACTGAGAATTCACAGAGCACACGTGGCACCCACTCAGAGTGTGCTGCCCAGTGGGCTGGGGTCTGCGCACGGTCGTGCGGCCCACAGCTCGGTGCCACGGTTTGTCTTTGGGGAAGACTCGTGAGCCCTCTGGTGAGCAGGGCAGGAGCGGCGCGGACCCACCCAAATGTGGCCAGCTGCTCAGACATCCCTTCACCTGACTGCATCCCTGCCTCAGGGGCGGAGAGGGGGCCGCTTGCTTGTCGTGTGGCCTCAGATGTGGGTGCTTCCGTGTCCTCGCCTGGGAGTGCACCTGGCAGTGCGGCTGCATCTTAGAACTGGCATGGGGTCGGGGGGGGGCCTGTTTCGGCTGCAGCCGTGAGGCCCAGCTGCCACGTCACATCAAGGAGTCTGGGGAGCGGGCGACCCTGTCTCATGTAACATTTGCCTTCCTAGGGTGGACCAGCCGCACCCAGTTTGAGGAAACGTGGGCCACCCTCCTTGGCGTCCTGGTGACTCAGCCCCTCGTGATGGAGCAGGAGGAGAGCCCGCCGGAAGTAAGGCCGTGTGCAGGCCCGCCCATCCACTGGCCAGTAGCCAGGCAGTCGAGGCAGCTGGTGACTTGCTCGTGGGGGCAAGAGAAGGGCAGCAGGATCGTTGTTTTGGTCTTCCCTTATGTTTACCAGGGTAGCCAGGTCATACCTCGACTAATGTTGCAGAGCAGGAGCAGATTCCCTCGAGTTTGAGTGGCCTCGATTGCCAGTGGCCACAGTACACTTTACCATGGCGCATCACGCGTTAAGGGTCAGTAGCATCATGCCCTTTCCTGAAAATATGTCTGAGTTCTGCTTATCAGTATTCACGTGCAGTGTGTAGGTTGAATCAGAATGAAAAGGCACGTGATAAAGGCCATGGATGTGTATGTACCTGTGTTCATTTGACTGCTTTGCAGAAGTTTATTGGGCTTCCTAGAATATTAAGGTACATAATGTTAGTAAAAGCCATGTTCTGGTAAGGGAAAGTCTGAGATATTGGAAAGCCATTGGCTAGAAGTCCTTAATTCCAGTAGATGGTATGGCAAAAATTTGTAGAAATGTCAGTTCAAAGAGTACACATATGTCCGAAATCACCAGTGACTTTAAATTCACGTGTAGAACTAACAGGTTGTCATACGCAGAGTTCCTAAAAAGAGTGAGGAAATTTAAGGGCAATATCTTAAAAAGTAATTTGTATTAGGAGGTTTGTGCCTATAGGAGACCTTGCTTTGAAAGGTAGACGTTGGCCATCAGATTTATTTCAAGTCTCAGATGCAGGGAACTTAGGCAGACAAGACAGGACCCTTGCTGGGAAGACGTGTCCATCTGTAGCACTCGGGGCTCACCCAAAGACCATGCGGCCTGAGAACCACAGCCTTCGGGTTCTGTGTGCAGGTGGGGGCAGAAGTGGTTCCGGGTGTCTGGCCGCTCGTGACTTGGTAAAGTGCGGGCTCTCCTTGCAGGAAGACACGGAGAGGACCCAGATCAATGTCCTGGCCGTGCAGGCCATCACCTCCCTGGTGCTGAGCGCAATGACCGTGCCCGTGGCCGGCAACCCAGCCGTGAGCTGCTTGGAGCAGCAGCCCCGGAACAAGCCCCTCAAAGCCCTCGACACCAGGTGGGAACATGAAGTGCCTGTCCACCCTGCCCAGAGTGACCAGCACCTTCACCCCGGGCCCTTTGCTTTGTTGCCAGAACGACAAAACACCTGTGTGTGCAGCCTCACTGTAGGGTGCAGATCCAGGAGGGTTGGTGACCGGGGCAGTGGGGTCTGCTGAGTGTTTAGGGCAGACTCTAGCAGATCAAGAACTAGCCGAGGGCACGTGGACAGGAGTCCCCTCAAAGGGAGTGTCATTCCTTATTACAGATGCCTCTGTTTCCTGTAGGCAAAGCTGGAGGAAGCCCTGAGGTTTTTTGCTTTTAAGATTTTGAAGGAAGCAAAATATTCTTTAACCTTTGTTCTGAATTTTAGGTTTGGGAGGAAGCTGAGCATTATCCGAGGAATTGTAGAGCAGGAAATCCAAGCGATGGTTTCAAAGAGAGAGAACATCGCCACGCATCACTTATACCAGGCGTGGGACCCTGTCCCTTCTCTGTCTCCAGCTACGACAGGTACCTGTGGGAAGAGGGGCCGTTTGTACCTGGGCCAGAACAAGAATGTGACCAAGATACTAACACCACCGGCTGGGCAGAAGGACTGGAGACATCTTTTTGGAGGCCGTGGTCCTCACTGCATGGCCCTAATTCATGAGTAGCCGTCTTGGTCAGGACCAGGCGATTTTAGCAGTCTGGAGCTCGAGTCTGGAGCTGAACGGAGTGCTGTCCCTCACCAGTGAGGGCACGGGGGAGCGGAGTGGCTCTCAGCCTGAGACGGGCAGCCCGCGTGGGAGTGTAGAAGCCGAACTAGTCTCTCCCGTGACTCTCCGGCTTCAGAGCAGAGAGCGCTATGGCAAGAGCAGGCCTGAACTCTCTGAGAGCCTGCCGGGGCTGGGCATCCCTGGGTCTGAGCCGTCCGCCCCCAGCGGCCCTTCCCTCCCCCGGCCCTGCATCTGCTGCTGGCCAGGTGCCCTGTTCTGTCTGGGCCTGCAGGCTGTGTGCCTGCCCTGTAATGGGCACTGGAGTGTGTCAACCACCCTAGCTTAAAAGAAGGAAATTTTATGTTTGTTTTTTTTAAATGCATATGTTTTTTGTTGAACAGACAGTATTTTAGCACAGCGGTTTTTTTAGGAGTTGTTAGGTCCTGTGATTTTAAACACCTCGAGTGCTTTACCTGGAGAGCGTTCTGTGTGGACGTGCAGACACTAGACATTTACTGGAGTGCTGGACTAAGCTCAGAAGTGTGCACTGCGATGGCCATGGGTCCCCTGAGCAGCTTCTGCCCCTAGGAGAGAGAAGTGGCCTCATTCACTGTCACAGGAGGCCGGGGCGAGTGGGTACCGGGAGAGGGGCAAACGCCCCAGGAGAACGCAGTCAGGAAGGGTCCTGGGAGAGGGTGCATTGACGCTAGGTCTGGTGAAGGCTTAGCCAGGGACCTCTGGCTGGGGGACGAGGGTTGTTTGGGGTATAGAGGGTGTGAAAGACAGTGGTTGTGGAGAAGATGGGTTGAGTGGGGGCATTGGTGGGCGCAACCGGACAGCCTGGACACCGGGGCAGGGTCCCGGGAGGTGTCGCCCACCCACGTTGTCGTCTGGGCCCCCAGAGTGCGCACCTGTGGGGCCACTGCCCCATCTGCAGCTGCTGACTTAGGCCTTTGCAGCTCGGCCCCCAACCAGCTCCTGTGCAGAGTCAGAAGCTGGTTTGTTACAGAGAAAAAGTGGTAATTCAGAATTGGCCGCACTGGCCCTGCCAGAGAAAACCCCAGAGACCCTTGGGGTTCTGCAGAGCTGTCCACCTTGCCGCCCGGGGCGGGTGCTGTCGGGTCGGCTCTGCGCAGGATAGCATGCACGGTGTTGTCGCCCTGCAGGTGCCCTCATCAGCCACGACAAGCTTCTGCTGCAGATCAACCCCGAGCGGGAGCTGGGGAACATGAGCTATAAGCTCGGCCAGGTCAGTGTCCCCCCCGCTGCCCCACAGCCAGGGCATGTCTTCCTGCTTTCCTCGCTCTCTCTTGACTGCCGTGAATTTGGGCCACTGGCTGCGTCCAGAAAAATTACATGTGTTTTTTAAGGGTTTTTCTTTTATTTGTCCTCATTTGTATTCTCTACTCCAAGGAAGATTTAAGGTCTCTTGTATACATAGGATGTGAGTGTAAATGTAGCAGGATGCTGAGAGTCAGGCTTAGGTCTGGGGCGTCAGACAGCCAGGCAAGGGCAGCTGGGGTGGAGTGAACACACAGAAGGGCCCTTGCTCCAGGGGGCCACGGATTTGGCTCAGCATCCCAGCTGCCAGGTCAGAGGGAAGTGTGGTCACATAGCCCAGTGCAGCTGATGGGCCGGCTCTGGGTGCCAGGTCGACAGCTTCCTGGGTGGGTCACTTTGAACTGTGTGTTTCCGTGTCCTTGTGAGAAAGATAGGACAGTCACGCATGTGATAGTGCAGGTCAAGGAGCTGGAGGACAGGGATGTGGCTCCTGGAGCCATGAGCATGTGTGTGCTGGGCACAGGGGACTCCCATGGGCGGCCTGCTGGCCGTTCTGTCCACTTCTGTGTCCTCTCAAACCTTGCTGGTTTACTTAGAAAGCAGTTATGCAGGACTGTTTTCTTTTTAGCTTTTGTTTCAGGGGACATTGGCCACAGCAGGGGTCAGAAACACTTGTTTGTCCTGAGGGCATCCCCAGCGGCTCTGGGCACAGCTTTGTGGCAGGGCCCCCAGGCCCGCTCCATCCTGTTGTCTCCTGCTCAGACATTCTTCTGTGCGCAAGGGGACACAGCCAGGCTATCCGTGCTGTCCTTGCAGTGAAGTTTCTGCCCCTGAGATAAATCAGGGTGATGGGGCTCAGTGTCATTTCTACAGAAGTGGGTTTCTGAGGAGCAGGCTGCGAGTGAGCAACTGTGGCTTTCGGGGGCACCTGGCCTCCTTCTGGGTCCAGAGGCGTTTGCCCAGCTGCGTCCTTTCTTCAGCATCTGTGCTCACGTCCAGCCATCGGGAGCGGAGCCCTGACCCCACCCTGCCCTGTCCTGTCCGGAGACCGGCCGGCTCCCACATCCCTCTGTGCTGAGCCATCACTGGCTGTTGGGGAGTGAGGGGAGCAGAGGGGCCGCCCTCTCTCGAGGCCCGAAGATGACGTTGAGGCTTCGTGGTTCATATTCCGTCTATGGCAGCCTTCAGGCAGCTGCCTCCAGCCTGCCGGCCCACTGCCAGGACCCCCACGGCTGGTGGGATCCAAAGGGGAAATGGCTGTTTGTGCGGAGTGGGAGTTGGGTGCTTGCTGGCTGGGAGGGTGAAGTCCGTGTTGCGTGCCGGAGGACTCCCACGCCGACACGTGTGGGAGCACAGGGGCTGTGGAGAGGGAGCGTGGTCTGTGTGGACTGGGAGCGTGGGGAGGAGCCCTGGTGGACGGGTCGACTCTTATTCAGCACCCTTGCCACCATCTCCAGAAGAAGCAGGAATAAGCTGGGGGGTCGCAGCTCAGGGGACGGACCCATGCCTGTGCCCTGAGCGCTGAGCCCAGGGGCCTTGTCTCCTGAAGGTGTCCATTCACTCCGTGTGGCTGGGGAACAGCATCACACCCCTGAGAGAGGAGGAGTGGGAGGAAGAGGAAGAGGAGGAGGCCGATGTTCCCGCCCCTGCGTCTCCACCCACATCACCCGTCAACTCCAGGTTTCCCATCTGCCTTTCATTTCAAGCATTTTGAACTCTCCTCTCAGTAATTTGATTTGTTTGGGTACCTCTTGGAATGAGCCTCTCATCTTGTGTGTGGGGCGATTGCCCCTCTGGTCTGCTCTGCAGGAAGCACCGGGCTGGGGTCGATATCCACTCCTGTTCCCAGTTTTTGCTTGAACTGTACAGTCGCTGGATCCTGCCGTCAGGGTCAGCCCGAAGGACGCCCATCATCCTGATCAGTGAAGTGGTTCGATCTGTAAGTCTGCCTTCCCCGTGGCCCTGCAGGCACGTGGCGCTCGTGACGGGGCCAGTGCAAACAGCTGTGGGCACCCGCAGCAGCGTGGGCACCGCGCCCGCCCGCGCAGCTCGAGGTCTCTGGGGACCTGGGAGGGCGCTCTTGGCGGCTCACACGTGCAGGAGGACCAAGTGGTATTTCTCCAGCCACAGAGGGACCGTTTGTACATTTCTGATCCGTGGCCGGTAGGCGTGCTGTGGGGGCGTCCCGTTGTGTGAAGGCTCTAAAGGACCCCTGCTTACCCACGTGCCTCTCAAGGGCCCATCTCGTGAACGTCGGCTTTGTTATATGAGAGCTGGACAGACAGTCCCGAGTCCACACCCCTGTGAGAAGCTCCGAGGCAGGCGGTCGTTCTCAGACTGCGGACTCAGGTTCCTGTGCGTTTGAGGACCCCAAAGAGCGTTTGTGCAAGGGTTAGGTCTGTCAGTGTTTACAGAACCCGGAGCACAGACGTGGAGGTTTAAAAATCATTCCTCATTAGACGCCATCTTCGCGTCTTTACCGTCACGTGGTGGGAAGTGAGCGAGAGTTTGGAGTTCAAGACCCTCGTCCCTGCTTCCTGCCCGTGGACCAGCCAGCTGGAAGCGTCTGCTAGTCTCTGCCGTGTGGGGCTCTGGTTCTCTGTCCCCGACGTGCCTCCGTCCAGTAATGGCAGGCGTGTGGTTTTGAGCCCGGCTCTTGTCAGTACACACCTTTTATGAGTCTTAGATCATTAGATATCTGGTCAAGGTAAGATTTTTAATTTGTAGTAGAAGTTTACAACCTGATTTTTTTCCCCCAAAAATCGGTAAATTCTAAGTACCTGTAATAAAGATATTATTTTTTTTTTACTTATTAATTCATCTAAAATAACAATGATGCTTTTAGTTTAAAAATAACACTTTTTGAAGAATTAGTAAGAAGAGCCTTGTTTTACATTTTTGCAAATCTCTTGACTGGTTTATTAGAAGAGAGTTGGATTCTCAGGTCTGCTTTGCATTCAGTCTGATATCAAAGGACTTCTAGAAAACACTGCCCTATGGTCGGAAGAGAACAGGAGTGAAAAGGCAGACACGGTGTCTGTGTTACCCCGGAAGCAGTTCTGACCCCGAGAGGCCCGGGAGGCCCGCCGGTGTCCGCTGCGTCCACCTTCGGCATGGCTGCTGCTGGCGACTTGCTGAGCCCCGCTGGCTTCGAACCCGGGCCTCTGAGGAGAGACCGCGCTCTGGCCTGCACGCCTGGGGACATTGATTTCTGGATGTCATGTGAAGAAGCGAGCCTCAGAGAACTGAACATTTTGGGGAGACAGGGAATCATCCCAGCATTTATTTCTGAAGCAGTGGCCCATTTCTCTCTCCAGGGCTTTGGAGAGCCTGTCCCCAACGCTGCAGGGGGGCCTGGCGTTTTGCAGAATAGCATTTGGAGATCTCCTCAGTGCCCCACGGTTGTGACTGACATCCAGGCGCCAGCTCGCAGTGGGCAGTGTAGATGCAGCGGTATTTTTAAGATACTCGACCAGTCATTCTTCACGTTGTGTGTTTACACTGTTATTGTAGGTTTCCGGGTGTGGGCTGCTCATGTACCCGGTCAGGACTCCTGTGAATGCCTGTATTTCATTGTCTGGTGGATGTTAGCACATGCATTTTGGTCTTTACTGCTCACTTCCTATCCGAATGCTCTGTGTCTCCAGCTCCTAGTGGTCTCAGACTTGTTCACCGAACGCACCCAGTTTGAGATGATGTATCTGACGCTGACAGAGCTGCGGAGGGTGCACCCTGCAGAAGATGAGATTCTTATTCAGTACCTGGTACCCGCCACCTGCAAGGCGGCTGCCGTCCTGGGAATGGTGAGTGAGAGGCGGTGTGGGGGCCGCCTTGTGTTGGCTGCATGCCGCGGGCATAGCCTCGGCCTTGGAAGGTCTGACGTGGGCAGGAGGTCCTCCCTGCCTTTCCGTGGGTCACCGTGAAGCGTGCTGTCATGGGTGAGCCTCGGTTTGGGGCTCCTGTACCCCTTTGCTCTGGGTCGTCATGGTGACCCATCCCCCTAGGAGCCAGGGGTGTGGGTGGTGGAAACGTGACTGGCTCCTCCTCCGCAGTCTCCCACGGCCCCCCACAGACCCCTGTGCTTCCTGTCGACGGAGCCTCCCTCCTGGGGGCCGTTTTACCCCAGACGCCCTGCATCTCCTCTCCCTAGGTCTGGGTGCTCTGGTCTTCTCTTGGCAGGAGGGCACACTGCCTACTTTTGAGTTCTTTCTTACTCTGCATCCAGTTGATGAGAACTCGGCCAGGGCGGCGTGCGCCAGTTTTCTGCGCATACGTCCCCACGTGGCACCTGCTCACCAGACGTGATGTGGGCACGTGAAAGCCCTTGTGCGCGGGCCCCGCCTTTGTTAGCTGGTGAGGGGCAGAAGCTCTGCTACCAGACGAAAGTAACCGGCCTCCAGGCTGCACAGAGCTGGCTTGTGCCCTGGGCTGTAGCCGCTGCCAGTGACTCCGGAGCCCAGCTTCCTGTTGGCAGCAGACAACTCCTTCATCCGCCCTACACGTGGGGCTGCCTCCCCCACATCCCCACGCAGTCCTGTGTGTCCCGGTGCTGCGGCAGGTCTCCTGCACCTGGCCCGACGCAGGGGAGGATGAGACCAGCTCATGTGGGGCGTGGCAGAGGTGTGAGCTCGCGTCTGTGGCCCGGAGCCGACTCTCGCCCCTTCCCAGCTATGCCCCCCTGTTGAATTTGTCCCTCTGACCCCGAGTGCCTGGGCAGGTTTCCCCCGTCCTGGGTGGCCGTTGGCCGTGGTGCCACCATCGAGGAGCAGGAACAACGGGTCTGTTGGCTTTCCCCCGTGGACACGTCACTTCAAAGTGTGTGCCCTCTGGGTGTCGAGAGACATGTGGAAGCAGCTGGACTTGAAGGGGTCCTTTCGTCTTGGTGGGGGGTTTGAGCTGCTGGGTTCGTTTTCATTGTAATTGTGTTTTTGTGCTCAGGCCCAGATCCCCCTAGACAAATGTGTTGTCAATAAGTTAAGTAATAGTCGTTTTTTAAGAAGACCCTAAGGCAAGATGCTGCATGTTCACGCTGTCCCCATCCTGACATGCACGCAGACGTCCCTCGTGAAGGTGGAGGTGTGTGCGCGTTGGTGCAGGCCGCAGGGCTCCACAGCTGATCCTCTCCTGCTGAGATACTTACATGGTGTTGGGAAACATGCCTTCCTCACAGCAGATCCTGCTGGTGTTTGCAGAGGTGGGGACTGGCCCCCCGGGTGGGAGTCCTTAGGAAGGCATCACGCCACCCTGGTGTGTGCACATTGGCCCTCAGGTGGCCCGCAGGGACCCTCAGGCGGCAGTAGCCACCTTTTCCAGGTGGGGTGGCTCTTGAGCACTGGGGTCTCCCCCACCTCCACACTGCTTACTGCGGCCGCCTCTTCTCTGAAAAGGAGAGAGTCCTGAGGGAGGAGTGTGCACGGAATGTTTGCGTTCTGCTGCACCCCACTAGGTCTAGGGTGCTAAAAGGACACAGGTAACGTTTTAGTCCAGGTCAGTATAGACTACTGTTCAGGGTCCCCAAGACCACCCTGGGTTTTTGCTGGGAGGATTCATACATACTCAAGGCCGGGATTTATCCCAGTGAACCCATACAAAGCAAAATCAGCGAAGGGAAAAGGTACGGGGTGGAGGGCGTTGGGGGGCACAAAGTCCAGAGGAAGCAGGCGCCAGCTTCCAGCACCCTCTCCCGGGGAGTCAGGTGGGACACGTTCTGTTTCCGGCAGCGCGTTGTGACAACACGTGTGGGGTCTTGTCTGCTGGGGAAGCTCGTTAGAGACGCGGAGCAGGGCTCTCGCTGGCGCTGGTCACGCAGGCCCCTCTGCCTGGCTCAGCCCAAACCGCAGACCCCCAGGAGGAAGGGGTGTCGGCACCGACCACAGCGTTGGCGCGGACGGGGGAGGCACAGCCGGGGAGCCGGGAAGGCTCCTGATGGCCAGGACCGGACGCCTGCTCTGCGCGGGCCTCTGGAGGGCGGCTCGGGCCCGCGGGGGGGGCTCCTGCTGCACACGGTCTTCCTCTGTAGCGTGTGGCCAGCCCGTCATTGGCCTCCCCCGTTCATCGTGGGCTAGCTTCTGCTCCCCGTGCCTGCGCTCTAGGATAAGGCTGTGGCAGAGCCCGTCAGCCGGCTGCTGGAGAGTACCCTGAGGAGCAGCCACCTGCCCAGCAAGGTCGGGGCCCTGCACGGCGCTCTCTACGTGCTGGAGTGTGACCTCCTGGATGAGACGGCCAAGCAGCTCGTCCCAGTCATCAGCGACTACCTCCTGTCCAACCTCAAAGGGGTGGCCCAGTGAGTACGAGTGGCTGCGTGGGGGTCTCTGTGTGGCCCAGGGCAGAGTGGGGTCACACATCACATGGTGGGGGGCACCCTTCCGTGGGGATGGGGGCTGAGACCCCTGAGACACGAGGATACCGCACACTGTCAGCTTGGGCCTTACCTCATGGTTTCAGCTGCGTGAACATTCATAGCCAGCAGCATGTGCTGGTGATGTGTGCCACCGCCTTCTACCTGATCGAGAACTATCCCCTGGATGTGGGCCCGGAGTTCTCTGCGTCAATCATACAGGTGAGCGGCCTTGGGCGCCTTCCTCTGGAGCAGGGAGCGGGTGTGTGCGCACGGTCACCTGCGGGTGGCAGGGTCAAGTCTTCCTTCTTGCTCAGATGTGTGGGGTGATGCTGTCCGGAAGTGAGGAAGCCACCCCGTCCATCATCTACCACTGCGTCCTGCGGGGCCTGGAGCGCCTCCTGCTGTGCGAACAGCTGTGCCGCCTGGATGCGGAGTCCCTGGTCAAGCTGAGTGTGGACAGAGTGAATGTGCACAGCCCGCACCGGGCCATGGCCGCCCTGGGCCTGATGCTCACCTGCATGTACACAGGTGAGCCGCGGGGGCACAGGCCCACCCGTGCCCGGCAGGTCAGTGCCGCCAAGCTGCAGGCCGCACGGGCCTCCTCCCGTCTCAGTGAGCGAGGAGCATTCTCATTCTCGGGACGCAGACCACAGGGCCTCACTGGCGCTTGAGGGAGATCCCAGACCCTGGAGCATGAGGTTATTGGCTCAAGGTCACGTTGCTGTAACTGCAAAGTGGTCTGCGGACTGAGCACTGCACCCTGTGTACCTGGGCTGGGCCCTGGGCTGCTGAGAGCTCCCTTCACCTGGTTTCACATCATCTCTTGGGGTTTGTTGAACTCCTGTGTGCGTTCAAGGCACAGTCTTCAAAGCATGTAACCGTACAGAAGGATTTGTTTCAGGGAAGGAGAAAATCAGTCCAGGCAGAACCTCAGACCCCAGCCCCGGCGCCCCGGACAGCGAGTCAGTGATTGTGGCTATGGAACGCGTGTCTGTTCTTTTTGACAGGTAAGCAGCGAAGCCCAGCTTTGCCGTCAACTGCCCTGGGGTGCTCACCAGGAGCAGCTGCCTTCCCATGTACCTGCTTTCCTCTCAGCCTTGCCCCTGTGGTCCACCAGCTTCCCACTTGTGTCTTGACTATGCATACACCTCATTCGGGGCTCTGCGGGGGTGGGCAGTCCTTGGACCCCAGCACCCGGGAGCTTGGGGTTGACCAGCTCTGAGGCCAGTCCAAGCCCTTGCCCATCTCGTGAAGGTGGGGGGCAGCACCCCTCAGTGTGGAGGCATCAGGAGGGGCTTGTTAACGAGACGAGTCCTGCGCGTGGAGTTCTGAGCAGTCCCAAAGATGTCCATCACACACTGCCGCCTTTGGGGAGGGGAAAGCCTCGAGGTCCCCGGGGCCATGAGGAGCACAGCCTTTGAGCAGCATTAGCAACGGCTCGGGACTAGTGTTGAGTAGACTATGGTAAAGGTTTAGACAATAAACAAAAGCGCCTCTGAGGGCTTGTCATTAACCCCCGCCTCTCCCCACTGTGTGCACTTGTGTCCAGAGTTGGCTCGGCTTGCCAGTTCTGGGAAATGGGTTAGGCACCTTGCCAGGCTCCTTCCCCAGGACAGGGCCTCGGGTTCTGACCCAGGCCTCCTAGCCCAGGCAACATGATGCGTCCGTGGCCTTGGGAGGCCCATTGTGTGCCACTCTGCCTGTCCTGTCCCTTCAGCTCGGTCAGCAGGAAGTGTCTGGCTTTCACAAGAGCGCGCTGAGCAAGGCTGTCCGTCTTTCCACTTGGGCCAGATGAGGTGTTGTGGAAAGCCGAGCATTGCGGTCTGTTTCTGTGTTGACACTTAAAATGAGTGTTTGGAGCCCTTCTTCCATTCCACACAGATCCATCAAGCTCGACCACAGCCGGGTGGCAGGCAGGGGAGCCCACACTTGAGTCCCCGCCTTCGTGGACCCTGTGCCCCGGTGCTAACCAAACAAACCAGGATTGTAGCGAGTGCCGACAGGCATGCAGCTTGATCGTGCCGCACACGCCCAGGGTGGGGCCGGGTTGACAGAAGTCGCGTTCAGCCGTGGGCGTCGTCCAGGGCAGCAACCTTGCACATGCTCGGCCACGGCTGTCATCTGCAGGCGGGCATCCGAGCACACCTGCGAGGGGGCACGGGTCCAGTTTCTGGGCCAGTTCCGGAGCCTTTCCGCAGCATGCGGCCCTTCTGTGTGCACTCACGGAAGCATGTAGACCGGAGTCTCGGGGGCGGAGGGGCGTCAGCAGGAGTGTGTGCGGGCCCCCGTCAGGGAAGGAGAAAGGTCCTCGCTGACTGCAGTGCTGTGGTTTCGGAACGGGGAGCTGAGAGGAAGCTCAGAGAGCATTTGGACGTGGACGGAAGCCAACATGTCATGGACAGTGTTCTTAGTTTTTTTTTTATCTCTGATGGCACCATCAAACCCTTTCTGCTTATTACTTGACATGACTTAGAAACCCCTCCCTGAGTCATCGGCCTCCTCCATGGGGTGGGGGCCCTGGGTCTGTGCATTCATCTGCAGGTCCCCGGTGAGGTCAGCAAGGGAGGGGTGTCACCTGTTTGCTCTTGCAGGTCACAGTCTAGGACCCAGGGCATCTCCCAACTGGCTTCAGATGCCAGGCCCTCTCAGGGTGGGGCCAGACTCTGACCTGTGTCCCCTCCTTTTAGGGTCAGGAAAGGGTTCCCCTGTGAAGCCAGAGTGGTGGCACGGATCCTTCCTCAGTTTTTAGACGACTTCTTCCCACCCCAGGATGTCATGAACAAAGTCATTGGAGAATTTCTCTCCAACCAGCAGCCATACCCTCAGTTCATGGCCACCGTTGTGTACAAGGTGAGGGCACTGGGTCACGCGGCCGGGGAGGCCCCCAAGGTGGACCCACCCAGACTTTCCAGACTGAATGCCTTTTACCATGTGGATGTGCTGACCCAGTGGACTTGCCTGTGGGCCCAGTTCCTCACCTTTGGGAGCCAGCAGCACCCCTTGACCCAGCCTCTCGTCTTTCTCAGGTTTTCCAGACGCTGCACACCACCGGGCAGTCATCCATGGTCCGGGACTGGGTCATGCTGTCCCTCTCCAACTTCACCCAGAGGACCCCGGTGGCAATGGCCGTGTGGAGCCTCTCCTGCTTCTTCATCAGCGCTTCCACCAGCCCGTGGGTCTCGGCTGTGTATCCTTCCCGGGTCCAGGCCAGCGTGCCGTGGCTCCTGTTTGTCAGGCCTGCAGACTCTGCTCTTAGCATCTGGGTTCATGTTTCTGTTAAAGTTTTGGAAGTTTAACCTTTGCGAGGAAGGCAGCTGTCAGATGACATTTATCTTAAGCCTCGAGAGAGTGCAGCGTGGGTAAAGGAATAGGAAGGCGGGTGTTTACCACACTGACCGGGACCGCCGGGAGAGGCGGGCCGGAGGGGTGCTCCCGCAGGTCCCTGTGGACCTCCTCCCGCCCGCCCGCGGGCCCCATGCAGCTGGGTCTGTGGCTGACGCTGCTTTTCATTACTCCTGGTCCATTGTGCCTTGTGTCATCCTCTCGGGTGAAAGGCTTAAGTAAAGATCCAGTTCCCACCCCAAAAATGCTGGCTGCCAAAAGGGGATGTTCTCCTCTGGCAGCCTTCCCCCAAGACAGCCCAGCGCGTCTGAGCAGACGTCTGTGCGGGTGCTGGTGGCAGGCCTCGCTCAGCCTTGCCTGGGAGGGCCTGGCCGGGGGGCCATGGCTGTGCCCTCTCCCCGCGGGAGCAGGGCCGGTGGGAGCAGCGGCGGCCGGTGCTGTGCGGGAAGCCAGGCCAGGTAAGTGCTGTGGAGCGGAGCCCCCTCGCTGCGGGGCGCCCCCAGCCGGCTTGCCCGCGCCCCCTGCCCTGCTGGCCAGGGCCGGGCTTCCAGCCAGCACAGCCGTGCCCGCTGGCCGTGCCCGGCTTGGCCGGCAGGAGCTGAGCTGGGAGGCAGCCGCTGCTGCTGCACAGTCCAGGTGCCCCGGCCTCGGCTCTCAGGGCCGCCTCGGCCTCGGCTCTCAGGGACCCCCAGCCCCGGGCCCGTCTGTAGACACGTGTCGGGGGAGGACAGCCTGGTGAGGACGGAGAGGCACGCACGGGGGACCACTCTTCCCTCACTCGAGCCTTGCTCCCTTAACTCCTCTCCCAGCCTTCCCCACGTCATCAGCAGGATGGGCAAGCTGGAGCAGGTGGACGTGAACCTCTTCTGCCTGGTGGCCACGGACTTTTACAGACACCAGATAGAAGAGGAGCTGGACCGCCGGGCCTTCCAGTCCGTGTTCGAGGTGGTCGCGGCACCAGGAAACCCATATCATCGATTGCTGACTTGTTTGCGGAACGTCCACAAGGTCGCCACGTGCTGAGTGCCCACGGGGCAGCAGCACCAGAGCCGGGGGGGCCTGCCCACGCCGGCGTGGTTCCGCACCCAGGCCTCCCCTCGAGTTGCGCCGTGGCCGAGCAGGCGGTGTCCGGCTCTGCCCGTGGCAGAGGAGCTCTGTGGCAGGGAGGCTGCGTGCAGGGACCACACGCAGGAACGTGGGGTTGAGCCTGAGTCCTTGCGGAGGGCAGGAGCCGCTGGTCACTAACCCTCTGTGCTGCAGCTAGTGCAAAATGCCAGCCAGCCGGCTGTTCCTGTCCTCTTAGCGCCCACCTGCCCGCGGCCACCAGGCTACAGCTGCTCTTGCGTCCGGGACGGAGTCTTCGGTCTTGCAGGTTGGCCACGGGCCTCTCTGCTGTCCCACAGGCAGAAGGTGGCGCCAGCAGGCTTTCGGGAGCGCTCCCCAGGGCTCTGGCCTGGGGGTCAGGGCCATGCCCAGCCCCCCGATGGGAATGCCGTGGGGTGTGCGGGTCGGGGGTGCTGGGAACGCGACACCCAGCGCCACACTTCCCTTTCTCTGTTTTCTTCTCAGGATTTAAAGTTTAATTATATCAGTAAAGAGATTAATTTTAAGGTAACTTTCTATGCCCGTGTAAAGTATGTGCATTGCCAAGTCTGTGCCGCATGCGACAGCGCCTGCAGAAGCCCCCCGAGCTGGTCCTGTCCCGGCCGCCCCCTGCTCTCTGTCCTGGAGCTCCTCCCACCGGGCACCTGTCTGTCTTATTAACACGCCGGTGACGTTCTGTGGTGCGCTGCACTTTCTCACGCGTCCCCATCTGATAAGAATTTGGGGATGTTTAATGTTCAGGTGTTTGGTCAGGAATTCACACAGCCCCTCTGAGGATTGGAAGGTGCCCGCTCCCCTGTCCCGTGCACGGGCGGGGCCTCTCTGGGCCCGCCCACAGCACCCTCCTCCTCCCGCACGGACCGCTCTAAAGCTTTCGCTCCCCAGTGAAGGACCACTGGCACCGCACTGACAAGGCCAGCCCACCTGGTCGCGGCAGTCTGTCGTGTCCAGCGACGCCGGCCCGGATGTCCTACGGTCCCGTCCCGAGCAGAGTGTGGGCTACAGTCTGCCCAGGGGCCGACTAGCCGCTGTTGGGGTCTTCCCATGTGGTTTCTCTTGTGTGTTAGGGCCCAGGCATGTAACAGAGTTACCTTTGTCTGCACCTCTCTTCATCAAGAGCAAAGCTTGGTGTCTTGGCAACCATTAGAGAAGGACCCCAGCACCTCCTCCGTCTCCTTTCCTGCTCAACCCATACACTGGGCCTCCTTTCGGGAGGGTGCGGATCTGTGCCCACTGGACCTATGATGGGGCTCGATTGGAGGGGGCAGGAAGGGACAGGACTGGGCAGCGACTGGCCAGCCTGTGGCCCCTCAGAGCCGCTGCTTCTACCCTAGACCCAGGCCACCGGACCAGCTGTTTCCAGCCCCAAAGTAGCCAAACCGTCCAGTGCAGACGAGGCCTGGACGTTTGGGTTGACCCCTGCTGGGCAGAGCCTGTGGCGTGCCTACGAATGGGGCCGTGCTTGCCGTCTGACGATGCTGGCAGGCACTCGGCCTTCTTGGCCCCCGGAGGTGGGCCGGTCACGTGATGCTGCCATGCTGGTCAGTTTGGTCGTGAGTTCAAGCGCAGGCAGCATTTTGGGTATTTCATGTGGTAAGTGAAGATAACTTTGAAGTCCTTTCCAGAGTCTGCAAAGAAGGAGTTTTGGTGCCTGGTTAGTTACCCTGACGTCTGGCCAGTACGGGCCTGACATCCCACTGCAGTGCACACAGGCCTGCAGGGCTCACACCAAACTGCCTGGAGACCCCCGAGCTGACCCCCTGCCCCAGAGCTGCCATTTTCCTTCCTGCCCTTTCCTGCTGCAGCGGTTTGGGACCTCCTGGGGTGCAGGGTTTTCCCGCCAGCCCCCGCTGAGGCCCCACTGAGCCAGGGCGTGAGTGGTAGAAATGGGTCCCATGTCTGGGCAGGACCAGAAGGGAACCTTAACGGAAAGTAAGTCACCATTGTCCCCCACCCCTGCTGGGCTCCCATTTCTCATCCTGCCGTTTCCCATAAAAAGCCTGCTAGCATGTTTGTAAGCGCAGGAAAGTGCTCCATCCCCCCACCGTCACCTCCGTGGCTCTGAGCACCCCGGGCCACATGCTCTTCCTGTTGAGGAGTTTATATCTGTAGGAAGTAACACTGTGAATGTGAGGTTTGGAACCGTTCCCCTTAGTATCCATATCACCGGGCTCACCTGCAAGCGTCATTGGTCTTCCCTTGTTTGCCATCGACCCGAAATAGTCGGTCTTAACAAGGGGGCCTGGAGCCCAGCTCTGGCCGTAGGCGCTGACCCAAAGACTGGCCTGTGTGCTCGGAGATGAATAGGAGTTGGTGAGTGAAGTCCTTTAGCCAGGGAGAGTAGATGTGTGTGTGCCTATGCGCAGATCTATAATTACACGTATATCTCAGTATGCAAATACGCAAGGCTACCAAGAATGGCCGCGTCAGTTCTTTGCAGAAGTCGGCTTTTCTTAGCCGTGCCACGGGGAGTCGGCTGCATGGCAGAGACGTCTAGGAACTGTGTCATTGCTCATTAAAATCCTACTGAGGAAAGGGTCCATCCACCTTGCCAGCTCTCTGCACAAGGAATTAAAAGACTATCAAGTTCCTAGAAGTCTGTGGCAAGCAGCAGTCATATCATCAATCCAAATGTTGAAAATGCTAATTTGGCAGGTTTGTTTGCAGAGGGGGGTTTGTTCTGCTGCCGACACTTTGAGCACAGACTTGAGTGAAACCAGGGTGATGCACGTGCCTTCCCCAGAAACGTGCCTCCCTTCCCTGTTGCCCTGCTGCGGGCTGCCCGTACCCGCTCCTCCGTCCTATTTTTGCCAGCAAATGGATCTTTTCCAGAGGATGAATGCGGCTGACCCCTCCAGACACCCAGAATGTAGCACCAGAAGGCCCTGCCTCTTAGAGGACCCCCAACCGCACCCAGGCCCCCCCATTGCCGGTGTCACTTCCAAGTCCCCAGGTCCCCGGGGCGGCTTCTCCTGGGAGCTGCAGCGAGCCCTTGTTGTGGGTTTTGTTGGAACAGACTCTGACCAGCAAGAACTGCCCTTGGCCGTCCTGTAGACAAAGCTTCCTTCTGCCGTGGGGGCTGCAGGGGGCGGGGTTCTCTGGCATTTCCGGGGAGTGGGATTCATTTTCTCTTGATACTGTGAGCATCTTTCCCAGCATACGTCCTCACTCTGTGTTGTGTCCTTCCCTCTCCAGTGAGCCCTCGAAGCCACGGCTGCCAGCCGTGTGACCGTGGGACGGTTCTGTGTGGGGGACAGGGGGCAGCAGCAGGGGAGCGGCCTTGCTGGAGAGTTCAGGAGGACTGCTGGTGCTGCCGGCCTGGAAGGTTCAGGGGTCACTTTCCCCCGCGCACCTGTCACTTTTAATGCAGCTGAAGGAACCCTCTTCCCCTGCCCCGAGTGCCTCTGGGAGCACCTGGCCCTGGACAGTCACTGCCGTTTCCCTGTGCAAACAGGGTGGTGACCGCCGGCGCTGGAGGATGGTGGCCCTTGTGGACCTGCTGCACGTGGTTGGGCTCTGAGTGGGGCCACCTGTGCACACTCCCTCCTGGGCACTGCGGCCGAGTGTCTGTGGGCAGGCCATGTGCTCCTGCTGCGCCGCCTGCCACCGCCACCCCACGCGGGGGCCAGCAAGGCTGTGAGGGGCACGTCCCGGAGCCCTGGCCCGGACCTGACTGTCCGCTGCCAAGAGGAGAGGGAAGGACTGACCTGCGACGTGTATTTAAGTTTTTAAACTGCTGCAAACGTTGTGTATCTGAATTAAAGGGAAATGACACCCCATGCTGCTGTACGAGGCATGCTTGCTCGCGGGGAAGCCCCGCCGGGGACGCGGACCCGCGCTGGCGGGGAGAGCGGGCCGGGTGCGTCCCAGGAGGGCCCCGCAGACATGAGCTGCTTGCGACGTTACGATCTGGTTGTGCCAGGGCCACGTGGCTTGGGCGTTGAGTCTCTGGCTCCACGTGTGTCTGGGGCCCTGCGGGGAGGTGAGGGCCGGGGCGGGGCTGGAGTGCTCACGTGGGCTGGGACCTGGCCGCTGAGCTCCCCTCGGGGCCCCGCCGGCTCCTGGGCTCCCGGGCTCCTGGCCTATCCATTTGAGTTTCGAAGTCATTCTGAAGTCCTTGCGGCTCCCCGAAGTTTTGCCTCCTCCGCTGAATGGGGCGCCGTGCTTCTTAGCTCTGGGCGGGCTCCTGCTCGTGAGCCATGGTGGTGGGTGTTGTAGCCCAGGCCACACCCCCAGGCAGCGGGCTGCTCTGGCAGGGTACTGCGACCGCGTCCACTGCAGTCCGGTGGGTTCCCGCCCGTCGACAGGGCGGCCCCAGAGCCCACACCACGGTGGGTGCCAGACAGAGGACACGGCAGCTTAGTCCCTGCCCTTGGGGGAGCAGTGCGACTGAGCGTGCGGACCTCCCCCGGATTCTGTGGCGGCCCCGCGCCCCTGCCCCTGCCCTCAGGAGCCAGAGCACCCCTTGCCCTGCACTGGGACCGTGGTGGGGCGTTTGTCTGCTGCGGCTGGGGTCTCACTTCAGTTCCTGTCAACATTTGATGGGGGCGACTTCAGCTCCCCAAATTTGTCTGCTCTGTGATACAATTCCGAGGCCTCTGATGGTCCCTCCCAGCTTCCAAGGCTCTATCCCCCTTCCTGGTCCAAGCATGGACAGCCAGACCCTGCCTGGTGCACCTGAGCACACCTGGCCTACCTGTTCTTTCTAGAAAGAAGGGTCCCAGGGCCCCTGGCGTGAGTGGGCTTTGCTGCTGCCCACGCCCTGCTTGCCCTCCGTAGAGGGTGAGACCCCGCTGTTCTTCAGAAGAAGCCTCTGCAGCCCTGCTGGGTGTGTTGGAGGCGGCCGACCTCGCCCCGCAGGCAGCCTGGCCATACTCAGCACCGCTGGATGAAGCATTCTGCCTGGGCCTGTGGGCACAGACGTGGGCACAGACGTGGGCCTGCTTTGTGGCATCACCAAGACTCCTTTGGTGAGGGAAGCTCATGGAAAGCCATGAGCACGTCCTGCAGTTTTCACTGCTTTGGGGACCTTAACATCTGCTTGGACAGCGCTTCCTCACCAGCTTCCCAAGCAGGAAACCTGGAGGCCACTCCCAACGACCGTCTCCCTGCTGGCCACGTCCTCTAGGGAGCCTGGGGCTCATAGGCCTGAGGGGCACTAGAGGTGTGGGTGGGCCCAGGGGACCCACCGAGGCAGAGGGCTGGCAGGTAAGGGTCTGGGCTCCCCAGGGATGTAGGGAAAAGGGCAGTGGTGCTGGCCTGGTGAGCTGGGCTTGCAGCCCCCCCGGCCCACGCACCCACCCGTCCACACAGCGCTGGGCCGCAGCTTGGAGCTTCCTTCCACTGTGAGCCGGCCACCCTGGGACGATTGTCGCCCCCTTCCACCGGGACAGCCCCCGCTCTGGCCCCGCCCTCCCGGGGCTCCACCCTGCCACCCCTGCCATACTGCCGCCACCTTCCACGTGCTTTCCTGCCTTTGCCCAGGATGGAGTGTTCGCACTGCTCAGCTCGGCCGCCCACCGTGATAGGCTCAGCTCACTGGCATCGGCCCCTGCCTGCTGCCAGAGGCTCTTCACGGGCACAGCTGCTTCCTACCCTGGGCCCCCATGCTGGCCCGCCTGGCCGGGCAGGGCTGGCACAGCCAAGTATCTCAGACCGAGTGTCCGTTCACGGCGAGACGGAGGCCTACAGGGCGTGGCCGCACAGGTACCCCTGGCCTCCTGCCGGGGCTTGACTACCCCTTCTCCCTGCAGGTCCTGCCGGATCCCCGGTCCCCGGCCCTCTGCCTCCCCACCCCTTGGAGACTGAGGGTCCCAGCAGGCCATGCAGCTGTGCCAAGGTATGGAGCCCCTCCCCAGCAAGGACAGACAGGGCCGCCCACCTAGCCAGGGCTTTTCCTTGGAGGCCCCACCAGAGGGCTCTGCTCCCAGAAGCTCCCCCAGGACTCCATTCTCTGGGGACTTCCAGTGCCCACTGAAACCTGCAAAGACATTGGGCATCCAGCCTTTTGCCCTGACTCCCCTGGACGCACTGGCTGGAGGGGAAGGAGGAGGTGCAGAGCCCTCCTCTGGGGCCACGGTTTGCCAGAGCCCTGAGCACAGAGTGACGCCTGCAGGCCGGCAGCTGCCCCTTGGAGGCAGTGGGACCAGCTGGCCTGCAGCCTGGGGGCCCTGGGGCAGCAACTGTCCTGACGCGTCTTCACTGTCCCCAGCCAGGCCTGCAGCTCCACAGCCATGCTCTGCCTGCCTCCCCCTGCCCCGGGAGGTGCCTGGAGGCAGCCCTGCTCAGCTCTTGGAGCTGTGCTGGGGAAAGCCCTCAAGGGGTCCTGAGAGCCTTTGCCTGAGCACTGGGGGCTTCCTGGAGGGTACAGCCGCCCTGAGCCTTCCTGGGAGGTGTGCCTGGCCAGGTGGTGGTGTCCCTGTGCCCCCAGGTGACCCCTGAGGCCTGGAGAGAAAGGATGCAGACCTCAACCCAAGAACCCACTGAAGGCGTAGAGGCCCCTGCTGCCCCCGCCCACTGCACTTCCAGTTCTGACCCCAGCACACCCACCCCATCCGGGGCACCTCCCGTCCTTCCACCTGACAGACAGCTCCCCATTCCAACCTCAGCTCTTGGGCGCATGGGCAGGTCTGAGAAGGACCTCTGTTAACCGTGGTGATTTTCAGCCTGGACTTCGGGAGTCCCTCCCCCGGGTTTAGGCCACCGCCAGAAACCCACGAATGCCAGGCAGCCTCACTGACGGCCCGTGGACACCAAACCTTTCTGGGCACCTGCGCCTAGGGAGCAGGGCTGGGCCCTGTCCAGCAGGTGCAGTGGGCTCCTGCAGATAAAACCACTGGAGTTTTATCTTTTAATTTCGAATGCTGATGCCTTTAGGTGGCCCTTTCTGTTCATAGTCCTCATGGGTTCCATGGCCCTGGTCTCCTGCCCTGACTGACCCTCCTGCTGACGTTGGCTGGCCAGCCCCGAGGGGGCACCGCAGCCCATCCCCAGCCTGGCTCTCAGCCTACCTACCACCCTCCACAGTCCCTACCACCTTTCCTACCACCTCCTGCACTCCCCCAGGGATGGTCACCCTGTCTCACTGCCGGCTCCCCTTTGTGTTCCTGCAAGTGGGCCTTCTGCCACTGCGAGCCTGGTTCTTTCCGGCGGTGCCCGCTGCCTTCCTGGTGAGCAAGGCCCATCCCCCTGTGTCGTGGTGCAGAGCTCACTTTCGTCCTGCGGTGTGCCCTTCCAGCCCCGCCGGTGCTAGCAGTCCGTGGCCCTGCCCCTCGAGATGTCGGGATGAGCCTCCTCCAAGCCCTGGTAGAGACCCGCTGAGGGAGGGTGAGGGTCCCATGGCCAAGGACCCCTGCCACAGGCAGCAGCCACCTTGTCAGCACTGGGGGGCCTCCCAGGAGACCCCAGGAAACTGTGGGGAGATTGTCCAGCACACAGCAGTTTGCATTGGCTTCATCCTGTGTGCCCCGCCCAGGACCAGGGGCACAGGAGGGGTGACAGGTGTCTTTTACCGGGAGCCTGAGCCTATGCTCCTTCAGGAGGCCACACAGCACTGCTGACTCAGCTCCCAGCCAGCCCCTTGCCCACAGGCTGACCTCACCTCTCCACCCCTTGGGCTTTTCATGTGTAAAATGGGAGTAACCACGAGGATCAAAGTGGAAGACTCTTAAAACAGTGCCCGGTGTTTGGAGAATACTTGAATTCTTTTTTTTTGTTTTTAAAGATTTTATTTATTTGACAGAGAGAGACACAGCGAGAGAGGGAACACAAGCAGGGGGAGTGGGAGAGGGAGAAGCAGGCTTCCTGTTGAGCAGGGAGCATGATGCGGGGCTCGATCCCAGGACCCTGGGATCATGACCTGAGCCGAAGGCAGACGCCCGACGACTGAGCCACCCAGGGGCCCAAAGATTTTATTTATTTATTTGACAGAAACACAGTGAGAGAGGGAACACAAGCCGGGGGAGCGGGAGAGGGAGAAGCAGGCTTCCGTGGAGCAGGGAGCATGATGCGGGGCTCGATCCCAGGGCCCTGGGATCATGACCTGAGCCAAAGGCAGAGGCTTAATGACTGAGCCACCCAGGCGCCCCTCGAATTCTTATTTTCTCACTTTTGCAAATGTCCTGAACCCAGGGTCACACAACTAGAGTAGAAAATAAAATGGCCTGGCTCAAGGTAGGGCCAATCAGCATGAGGGAAAAAGGGAAGGACCGAAATGGAGTAGGAAGACTTCAGAGAGGAGGTGATGTCAGAATAGGGCTTTGAAGAATGATTAGGAGTTAGCCGGTTAAGTCCAAAGGCAGAGTCTAGGTGATCTATTGGGAAGGGAGGAGCTACTTAAGATTGGTCCCTTCATTTGTTCATTTCGTTATTCAGCAAGCCTTTAGCAAACCCTTTTCTGTGAGGTACTGGGGATGCAAGGAGCATGCCACCGCCTGGTGGAAGCAGGTCGAGTACAGATGGTGCTGAGCAGGGTTAGGTTGGGGCTGTGCTGGGGCTGCCCAGGGTGGGAGGGACAGATGGACACTGCCCGCCTGCTGCCTGCTGCACTCTGGCCTCAAGAACTGCCCCGGTTTCTCCACTCTCCCCACGTCACCCAGGCCGGCAACCGGTCCCACCTTCAAGGAGGGAGACGGGCCATCCTGCCCAGCCTGGCATCCGTGCATTTCCCATCCATGTGAGCACATGGCCAGGGACATGCTGTGTGTGGAGCACGTCCTGGGTAGGCGAGGGTTGCTGTGGGTCCCTGGGGGAATCCGCCTCTGCACCCTCACCCCTCGCTGCCCACCCTCCTGTCCGTCTCCACCTCTCCCTCTTCATTTGCCCCCCGACTCCCCATCTTGGGCTCCCCTGGGTCCCTGGCCTGTGTGAGTGGGGCAGGGCTGAGGTGGGGGCTGTGGCCTGGACCCCCGCCCTCGGGAGCCCCGCGAGCCCAGCGTGCACCAGGCTCCTGACGGGTCGGGGTGGGCGGCGGGGCGGGCGCCCAGGCCGCCGGTTTTGGGTCTGGCCGGCTCGCTGCTGTATTGATGGCCCGTCAGGGCAGCCCTGATTCCTGCGCTTTCAGTTAAAAGGTTTCTGTTGTTGTAGCTTTATGCAGTTGCTCTGTTGCTATGGAAACGTGACATCAAAATGACGTTTCCCGTTTAAAAGCTTTTAACTAAATTCCTGCCTGTCAGATGTAGGCCCCATTTTGAGCGCGGAGCTGCCTTCCAGGAGTGGGGCTCCCGCCCTGGTGCGCAGGCCGCAGGCCCCGCCTGAGCACGTTCTTTCGACCCCACAGGTGCCTCCAGCATGGCTGCGGCCGAGGTGCCCAGCTACCTCGTGTCCCCTCAGACAGAGAAGCACCGGCGTGCCCGCAACTGGACGGACGCGGAGATGCGTGGCCTCATGCTCGTTTGGGAGGAGTTCTTCGACGAGCTGAAGCAGACCAAGCGCAACGCCAAGGTGTACGAGAAGATGGCCAGCAAGCTGCTGGAGATGACCGGGGAGCGCCGGCTGGGCGAGGAGATCAAGATCAAGATCACCAACATGACCTTCCAGTACAGGTGGGCT